TCCAAGGTGTTGGGTCAGGCTGGTTTAGTTGGTTCAACATTTAATGTGAACACCCCTAACAGAGACAACAAACATTGGGGGGAGAGGCACATATTTGACCTATTTTTTCTGCAATAAATCCAAGGTGTTGATTTTTTGGAGTGCCACTTCTCAACAAAAGGCCTGAATTTTTGGGGGTACAGGGTTACCCCACACCTCCCTAGAAGGAAAGTTCCCTACAAGGTTAGAGGTCTTGAATAGCTTTCCAAGGAGAAAACTAAGAAGCCCCAGGGTCGAGTCCTGCATCCAAGCCTTTATCTGCCAATCCATGAATACTAAATCACTCTAAACCAAAGTCTGTCCTATTCCATCGGTAGTCACCAAATCTCCAAATTCATTTTCCTAGCACAACCGTGTTTCTTAATCTTATATTTCCTGACCCAAGGCCTCCATCATCCCTGCTCCTAGAAAACACATCCCACTTCACCAAGTGATCCTTCTTAGTATCCCCTAGTTTCCATAAGAAATCACTCGTTATCTTCTCTAATTGGTTAGCTACTTTCATTGGTACTCTAAAGGTAGACAAGAAATAAATTGGCAGGTTGCAAATATTGACTTGATTAAGGTTATCCTACCCCTAAAGAGATGTAATTCCCCTTCCAATTTGCTAACCTCTTGGAGAATCTTTCAATCACAAGGTACAAAAAACTCTTAATGATTGGGTTCCCTCCTAGTGGTAGCCCCAAATATTGTAAAGGCCAATCCCCCACTTCACACCCCAAAATCCTAGTTGGGGAATCCACCTCCTCTCTCCCTAAATTGAGCCCTGCCACACAACTTTTTCCCCAAATCACTTTAAGATTGGACTTCGTTTCAAATTGAAGCACTAGACTCTTTAAGTTTCGTAATTCCCCTTCCTCCCCATCACAAAACAAGATGATGTCATCCACAAATTGTAAGTGTGTGACGACCACCTCCTCCCTACCAATCCTCCAACCTCTTATCAAATTGTTAGCATCAACCCTTGAAATCATGGCACTCAAAACATCAACTACTAGGGTAAAGAGGAATGGGGACAATGGATCTCCTTGCCTAATACCCCTCTTTGTAGGAAAGAAACCCCTAGCTACACCATTCACYARTATTGAGAAATGACATGAAGAAATGCATCCCTTTACCCATTTGCACCATCTCTCCCCAAACCCTCTATTCTTGAGAACATCTAGTAAAAAATCTCAGTCCACCATGTCATATGCCTTTTCAAGATCCAATTTGCAAATAAACCCCTTTTCCTTTCTCCTCATCTTCATCTCAACACATTCATTGGCAATAAGTATTTGATCTACAATTTATTTTCATTCTACAAAGGCCCCTTGATGCGATGATATTAAAGAATGGAGGATCTTTTTTAATCTTAGCGCTAGGACCTTAGAGATGATCTTATACATGCTTCCCATCAGGCTTATAGGTCTGGAAGCCTTTGGTTGGAGAGCGTCATTCTTCTTAGGAACCAAGGCAATAAAAATTATATTTGCTCCTAAGTTAAATTTGCCTCTCTCATAGAACTTTTTAAAAACCTCAAACAAATCCTCTTTAATTATCTCCCAACAATTTTGATAGAAGGCCATCGAAAAACCATAAGGCCTAGGAACTTTAAATCGATTCATGGAGAAGATTGCATTTCTCACTTATTGGGCTTCAAATCTTTTTTTCCAAATATTCCAATAAAACACTATCTTCCACCCTCCACTCCAAGTCCTCTAAGCTCTCACTAGGTCTCCCTGGGTTGTCATACACTAATTTGAAATGATTAACCGAAGCTTGAGCTATATCCTCTTCCCTTGTCAGCAATTGCCCATCCCACTTCAACTTTGAAACAAAATTCTTCTTCTCCCATTTGTCAACGAATGAAAAAACCTTGTGATGATGTCCCCTTCCTTTAGCCATTTGCACTGGGATTTTTGCCTCCAACTTATCTCTTCCTTCCTAAGAAGATCTTCCGATTCCTGTTTCAAATTCCATCTTTCCACCCTACCCTCTTTCCCCAGCCTTCTTTCGGCTTTTAGTCTATCTAACTCCTGCACTCTCCAACTGATTTCCACTTTCCTTTCCTCTATCAGGAAACCAATTTGTAATCATTTCAAAATTTATCAAAACAAATTTTCTACTCCGTATTTTCTTCCATACGTTTCGTATACATTGCCTTTCTCCCATTTTTTTTTTTCTATTTCAAGCAAGAACACAATAGTTTTGATCACCGATCGTCCACAGTGTTCTTCTGTTTTAATCACTTTTTTTTCTTTCTTTGTTTTTGTTCTTGGGAGTAAAGTTGAACAACATACTCCTTAGCGATCAATCAAACACCTAATCAAATTAATGTAAGGTAAGTAATTTACATAAAATACAGAAAAGTATGGACAGAACCAGGGCAGATTTATGAATTCCACTACAGACCTATAAAAATTCAAGTTTATATCTAACTATATCTAATTTATATAACTTAAAGATAAATTTGACTTACAAATTTATGTTTAGATAAATTTAGGTATATAAATTTCATTAGTCACATTTACATAAATTTAGATACCTTTATTTGTTTTATTACGTTAAATTTAGATAATAAAAGTAAGGTACATGATTTGGTTAAGTTAATTAATATAATATATAAATTTGATTTAGTTAACTAAGTAAAAACTAAAAATTGACTACATTAATTGTAATTGACTAAGTAATTTAATTATTTTAATATAGTTAAGTATAATATTCAATGTAGTTATCTCTTACTTAATCACTTAAATAATTTATTAACACTAACTTACTAAATTCTTAATTAAATAGTTATTTACTCAACTTTTTAAAATAACTAAATTTTGTTCAATTTAATTGAATATGATTATGTTAATTTAATTAACTTTAGATAAAATTAGACAAATTTAGATTCATCTATTTTTATTATTTTTATTCTCATTTAGATAAATTTCATTAATTATATTAATTAAGTTTCAAAATTATTTCTAAACTTTCATTAATAAAAACTAAACAATTATTTAAAAATAATAATTAATAAAGGATATTAATATTAAAGTTAAATCAAAATAATAAATGTTAATTTAAAAGTTGGCCACTATTACTAGAGTGCAAGTAGGATTGCCGATGGGTTACCTAGGCATAACCCAAAAGATAATATTTTGTTGGACTTGGACTAGCTAGGTGATCATTGTCAGCCGCCTAACCCAAAAGTTTCTATCCCTTAGCCCTCAGCAGCTCGAACCCAGATTTCCCACTCACTTTTCCTACCCACTCTCTACCCACAGTGAATTGAAGCCACACATCTCTCAATTCATAATAGAGATGTGTGACTCTAATTCACGGCGGGTAAAGAGTGGGTAGGAGATTCCGAGTGCAGCGCGCAGCTCAGCTTTTTTGTTAAAGCCTGCCTTAGGCCCAAAATTTTAGGGTTGGGACAATGCCCAGTACTTCAGCTTGGCCCGACCTACAATATGTTTTATTTTAAAATTTAAATTATAGCGGGCCCCCTATGCCATACATGGGAAAAACTGAAATCAAACAATAAGATCTAATTGAAAAAAATATCTAATCTGTACAATTTTCAGATTAATAAAATTAATCAACTTTTATTTTTCCATGCACTGCACGGGCCCCACTAGTTTTATATATAGTGGAAAGAAAGAGGCCAAGAGTCCTCTTACCATGCATTTATCTCAAATGTGGTTATTCATTTTAAAATTAAAGGGCAAAATACTTTGAACTACATTATACTTTGAGGGTAGTGACATTCACCCGAGATATTCTACCTGTAATTTGTTCCCACATCCTTACCCACAGAGCACCACCAGCATGTATTAGGAACATCTCCCGATGAATAACAAAGGAGATATTCCCGATGCACAGCTGTATTATCTCGTGGGTAGAGATGTGGGAACAGTTCGTGAGTAGCAGATCTGAACCCARTGACACTTAGGTCCCCAAAGTTCCACTTGCAACCAAGAACTACCTTGTATTTTCGGATTCAAACACTGTTCTTGTGCCCTTAGCATTTTGTCAGTTTTGAGCTTTTATGAGACCATTTATCCTCTCCTTTATTCTTGATTAGAGCCAACAATAATGGATGCTCTACCTCTTTCAGCTATCCTTCACCTCTATCTTAAACAAATGAAACGAGGAAGAAAGAGATAAGAAAAGTTTAAAAACCTAGCATTTGGAGATGCAATAAAAAAGAAGGTAAATGATCTCATAAATACCCAATACTGATGAAATGCTAATAATATGAGCATACTTGTGGAATCTAGAAGGACAAAGTAACTCCCTATCACAAAATGAAAAGTTGGAAAACCTAAGTATCACTATCCCAAGGTATAAGGTAGGGTTTTTTTTTTGTAATTTACCCTAAATTAAATTATTAAAAATATATTTTGGCGTATGATACAAAGCACATTATATATATTGAAGAATATATATCAGTTGCGTCAGCTTTATGAAGAACATGAAAAAAGATCAGTTTTTTAATTATTTTTTCTTATTTAAGAAAGAAATAAATATTGAACCTATTTGATAAATAATTCAATGGGTGATGTAGAAAGTTAAATTAATGTTGTTGGTATTATTTGAACAGTTTGGATGGTAGACAGTACTAGATAGCCAACACTCATGGAAAAAGGAATCAAATGAGAGGTTGACAAGAGCTTTTAATAGATCATAGATACTACACATGCATCAATGTGCAATGTATGTGCCATGGCTCAATGCCATAGCCAAGAACCAAGTGAGAGGAAAAAGGATCTCTCTTGTAAAGTTTGTCCGTTCATATTACCTTATACAACAACACTTCAAACACCTTAAAAATTCAAATCAGGATAGAGAACACCCTGTAAAATAGACCTGCATTTAGGAGTTCAGGTTTACAAAAGTTGATATTTTTTGCCTTTTGCACTTTATACGCAATTAAAAATTATAGATAATAAAAAAAGAGAATAATGAAAGAAGAAATTACACAGATGATGTGATAGAATGGATATATTTGACTATTGCGCATCATCACAATATATATTTGGAAAAAATGTTCAAGGATGGCATAGTCTAAGAAGATATACATGTTTTACATACAAAATGCCAAAACTAAAGAAGAGCTGTTTTGCCAGTTAGATTGCTTCCTCCGCCACTGCTACACCATGTAAAATCTGCAAATAATTTGAAAGCAAAAAAAAAAAAAAGAACACATTATTTATTTCTGTTATCCAGCAAAATGAAATGCAGATAATTAGACATACAATATTTCATTTGCAAATATCATTCTTCTAATTTTAGGGAAATGCTTCCCACTTTTTATCTGAAAAATGTTTCTCATTTTTTGTTTGAAAAACTTGTTTCCAGATGGGAAGAAAGCGGAGAAGCCATTTATAATGTCTATATGTCAGACATGTTGGAGTGGGTTTAACCCAGAAATCATTTAAACACACTAAAAGGAATCCTCAAATCAAGATGGACCATCCAACGAGGGCTGGCTCGTTGGTGTGTTGGCTGGTTTGTTCCAGTGTTGACGCAGAGTCAAATCCCACAATCATCACTTTGGCAAAAAAGGGGTCAGGGGGAAGTTATTAATGGTGCATAGCATTAAATATCAAAAAAAAAAAAAATCAAGATGGACCATACCAAAATATTGTAAACTTGGAACTGCAAGACCACATTGTCATACTGTCCAACAGATCCCAGGAGATTGGATGATTAGGAAAATGTGATTTTTCTAAACTTTGCTTTAGGTGATTTCCCATGCACGTCACCAATTGAATATTGGTTATGGAATAAACAGGGATGATTTTATCCAGTACTATCCTGACCATATGGGGTGAGCTACATGGCTCCTATATTAGTTCCACTCAATCATGGGCTATATCCATAGTTGAACTTTCATATCCTAGGATCTGTAGAAGGGTGATAATGTAAGTTCACTATAACAAATGAGGCAGACCCATCTAGTTTAAGGGGCTAGAAGGGCTAGGGGTAGATTAAAAAGGAAATGGGTAGTAGTAAGAAATGATTAAAGTGCCAATAATTTAAAAATGGATATGGCTTTAAACAGACTGGGATGGTTGAACAGGATTCATGTAGCTGACCCCATATAGTTGGGATAAAGCTTGGATGATGATGATAATGAAATAACAAATGGGGCAGACCCTAATTATTATTCAAAAATCACTTCCTAGAAAGGCAAACAAAGCCTCATAATACTATTCTTAACTAGTATTTGGCCTTTTCACCCAATATGCTCCCCCCTTTGTAAAAAAATGCAATATGTTAACATTTTCTCCTTTATATTATAGTTTATTTTATGATAAGAATATTTATATTATTGACTAAGACTTTAAAAGTTGATGCATCTACTAAAAAATGCTAGGCAAGTTAAAAATGTTGCAGATCTAAGTTAGCATTTAGAAAAAGAAACACTTACCCTTCACCATAGCACTAAAACTTTGGTATTAGCAATCTTTGTATGCCCATCATAAAGATAGCAGCGTTCGTTGCTATACTCACATTCACTTTAAAGAAATACTCTTAAAGCATCAACAACTTTCTCAGGCCTGTGTCACATGGTACAAGGTCAATACTTCTGAGGAAATAAAATGTGAGATGCTTATGGGTAAAAGTGAAATAAACTCTAGGAATGTACTTACCAATCTTCTTGTGGCATATGTCCTGCACCTTCTATCAACTTAAGCTTGACAGCAGTAGAATTTTCTCTTTGAAACTGCTCCGCTTCTAATTGAGGCAAATACTTGTCTGATATGCCCCAAGCAAGCAGTATTGGTTTGTCCCACCTATGGTACAAAAGTCACTTGGTTATAACCTAAAATCAAGAAAAGATAGCATGGTTAACCTTTAGTTATATCCTAACCACTTTAGGTAAAATAATGATATAGAACCTGAATGTAACATTAGATTTTGACATGACTGGTTGACATGCATCACAGATGTAGTTTTTTTTCCACAAGGAATTCCAACTTCTTCTATAAGCAAATGCACAACCTTCTATGTGGATGTTCTTTAACAATAAACCAAATTGTTTACACAAAATATTTGTGTGTAGATTAGACTTTTATTCCTATGCAAAGACCTCTCTCTGCATAGCATGCCAATTCCGGTGAAATGTCCTACAACATAAACTTGCAAAGATTTCTATTTCTACTTTTTTTCATAGTGCAATACTCAATATGTGGATTCTTGTTTTGTATAGTTGTCCTCTCATATTGCAAAGCCCATAAACAGAATTTCCATGACAAACTAGTAGATGCCCTACTTTTAGATTGAAGCAAAATACACCAGATTGAGCCATACCAGACCCCATAGGAATTTCCTTGACTTCATGACAGAGTGCTAATGCAATACTCTTTTATGATACTTCTTTATCTCCTTGAAAACATCTGATATCTGAATGAATCAACTAAAAGTACAGCATATGAAAACAAAATTCTATACACTAGTAAACGTTTAATCCGACCTCAATAGCCCAAAAAGCCTATGAATAACTTTGTTTGAGCTTTTTATTGAGGTTTTTCATACTCGAAACAGACAAACACACAGAATTGGAGCCTTACTGAAGCAAGTAAACTAGCCTCCAGTGTCCTCTTAATCCAGCAGGGAAGTTTCAAAAACCTTGTGAGATACTTGTTCAATCCTATTGGTCTTTGCCCTACACAAAAATTTGTACACCTATGCCATTACAGTATACGTAATTCCCTTCTAAGCACTGTTAATTCATCAATAATTCTTGCTGCACACGGTAACATGTGTCCACTACTTGCAAAAGATACTATATGGAAACAATAGGCATTCAATGCATAATATTGCTTATTGACAACTGTGAAAGTGAATATTTTTCAACATGTATACTAGTATCATCTTTGACAACTCAGATACATCTTTGTCAACATTTAAAATTTACTAGAGATGCCATACCTTCCAGAGGAAAATCCAGCTGCTATTCGGCTTGATATGTCTTTAAAATTAGCTTTTCTTGCAGCTTCAAGCAAAGCTGAAAAAAAAAGAAAAACAAAAATATGATAAAGGATAATATTAGTGATGTTGTAAATACAGAAAGTTGCTAAAATAATTATGCTCATCATTTTTTTTTCATAAAATAACTCTTACTGTTAATTTGGAATGCAAATGTGCTCATACTTTTTTTTTTCATTTTTCACTTGTTTGGCATGTATTCATCGAGTGAACTACTGATACACACACACATAATAGTATTTTCCTGAAGGAAATAAAAAACTTAATAATCATTTTGTAACAGAATTATCTCTGCTACTAAATTTGTAACTGTTTGACAAATACTTTGAAATATATAATGTTAAAAAATAGTTGTTTGTGAAGACCAACTATCTTCCCTCACATGATTGCACACCTTTATATATGTGTATATGCGAGATTATGGATTAATAGAACTTTTCATGTATATTCCAGTCACTGTTTCAACGAAGATGATGAATATCATTAGTATTATGGACTTGTATATTTTGTTCTTTTTTGATAGGTAACTATAAAAATTTTGTTAATAATATGGACTTGTGTATTTCATTTTAAAACAAATAACGATGAATTCTTACATTCTTCTCAAAGTGATGATAGTCTTGGAACTTTTAAGCCTAAAAAATGAGCAGGTTGTCATACTATTCTGAGTAGTACTTCTCTCTTGAAATATTCTAAAAGAACAATGAAGGTACTAAAATATTAAAGGTAAAAAATACATGCAACAAAAATAAACAAAACAAAATACAAACCAAATCCAGGTCCACTGCTTGCTAAATATGGTAAGCGATACACATCAGCTTTTTCCAACTTCAGTACATATCTGTCAAGATAGTGGATGATCAGTAAGTGAAGCACAATGTATAGCAATTCTGCAAGTATCTTGGTTTCTTTTCTCTTTTTTTTTTAGACAACAGGATTACTATTATAAAATAAGAAAAATAAGACAAAAATATAAAAAAAAACAAGGAGCAAGTCCAAACTTAAGCAAACTCAAAAGGCCAAAAAAAGTTTCAGAACACCCAAAAATACCATAAAGGAAAATGGCCAAAATAAGAAACCACCCATAACCATACAGTACAATAAATGAAACAACCAGAGCCCATCATCTCCAGCCTATTGCCTATAAATATGAAGCAATATCAGAAAGACCCAATGCATAAGCAGAATAACCCCTATATACCAACACAAGCATCATAAGCATCTAGGGATTTTTTTAACATGTTTAGAAAAATTTCACCTCCTAAAACGACTGACAGAAATCAAAACTGAAATTTGAAAGTAGGTCAAAAAGGAACTAAAAAAAAAAATAGACCAATGCTGATCTCTAAAGTTTGCCACAGAACTTCAGTTGAAACCTGAAGCTAAGCAAGGAAAATATATACTATGCTTTTTTAGACCTCAGGTGGGCTTGAGATAATTTGCTATACAAAATGAAACAAAATTAAAACTCAAAGTCAAAAGTCATAATAAGTTTTAGACCACAGGTTGCCATGCCAGTCATAATGAGATGTCATTAAAATTAACAACTTCTACAAGGAAGTAGATATAATTGTGGATACATACGGGCTACCTGCTTCAATAAAGCGCTCAGCCATAACAGCATTTTGGCATGTAAATTCACCATAGAGTGGAATTCTGCAAGACAATTACTAAGTTAATTCCATAATGAATCAAACACCAAACAATTTGAACAATTTCATACTGCTAAAAGTACAAAATATGATCCTTATCCAATAGCATGTTCTTCCTTGTTATTGAAATAAGATCAGAGTCTATTCTATATCATGTAAATCGTGGGGGTAATCAACATACTAAAAGCAATCAAAACTTCTTTGTGAAGTGGAAATTTTTACTAAATCAATTCCTTTTCTCAATATGGCAATGGAATCACCTCAGTGCATCAAAGCTTCAGAAGTGATAAAGTGAATTATAAAATATATCATCAAATTAATAGCACTTTTAAAGAAAGAGACAGAAGAAAGTGATAATGACATTTTATTAACTCCATAATCTTCATTGATGGATCTTTAAAAGTATGTATTATGTGAGAAAGACTGGTAATTGAGACATGAAAAGTCTTAGCTAATCCATTTCTACATAAAAGGAAAAAATATAAAAGCTTAACATCCATGGAAGCCCCAGAAGAGCATGCATGGATGTGGGCATTGGAAATAAAAACCAAGGAAGAGAACAAAGTAATTGAGGCAACTTGAAGAGATGTAATGGTCTAGGAGACCCATAAACATGTGAAACATGATTCCAATTGTTGTAAGAAAACAAAGAGATTCATAAGATGGACCATCAAGTGAATCCAAAATCTATGGAAAGAAACCTGAACTGCTTGTTCAAGTGGATCCCAATGTCTTCCAATAATTTGGCTGATAATATTGCAAAACCAGGGGTGACAAGGCGGGTTTGCTGGGACGTGGGGATAATTTGTAATCATAAATCTGTTCATATTATGTCTTTATGTATTGTCAGTTGTGTGCTGTCTTATAAATCAGTGTAATGTTCCCGGTAGGGCATAATGTCAGTTCGTCTACTTCGAGGGAGATGAGAAACCTGCGATTGCAGAACTGCAATGAAAAATGTATTTTCTTCCAATAATAATTTCTAAACTGAATACAAAATAATATATAAACTCCTATTAACCTTCCACTTCCTATGACCCACCTACCCACAACAAAATCTGTGTCCCACTACAACTCAAAGACTCCATAGCTAACTCAAGCAACTCATATCACTTAACACATTACACTCATACACACATACATGACCTAACATAACTCTCCCTCTCACTGCTAAATGACCCATAACAACTCATAACAACTTCTCCAAATGGGTCCACGTGGCTCCCCACTCCATGCATGGCCCAACATAATGCTAACTGAACAGATAATATAGATTCCTTTCCCTCTAACTTATCTTATACACGCATTGCACAGCCCATATACAGTATGTAATAGAGGTGTGGCCCACTTGGTTGGGCACGTGATACTCTGCTGTGTGCTGTCTAATTCTGGACAGTATGAGCCTGGTTCAAATTGAATGCTATTGTATTTTTACTGTTTATTATCAAAAGGAAAAAAAATAGAAACTTATGTCCATTGATTAATATACAACCATTTTATTCTAAATTCTTATTAGTAAATTCAAGAAACTTGCAGCACTCAATGAGCAAATATTCATTTTATTAGTTCAGACTAGAATAATGAAGAGTCAATAGGAATTGGACCAAGCTTCAGAAGATGGAAAATAATATAGGTTTTATAGCATCAAGAAAAAACAGTAGAGACCTTCAGTGATCATATAGGCATGGCCAAAATTCTTTGGTGTCTCCTTGTACTTGGTGACCGTTGGGGGTCTATAGAAGGAGAAAAATCACAGATATATTTTCCAAAAAGAAAATGCTAAGAAGAATAATTAATTCACAGTATTTAGATGTAACTACACAATTAAGATTAATTCTTAAAGGGATGAGACTTTTCTATTTCAGTAGGAATGGGAAGAAATTTATATGATGATTCTTTTTGTCTATAACCTTCTCACTTTTCATGTCTTGCTGCATATAGTTCTCACCTTGATACCACTGTATAGCTATATTTATATTCTTCATTTTTTATGCTATACTTATTACGATTTTAATTAAGCTAATAAAAAAAGAAACACCAAGGAAAAGAAATAAAAGCTAGTAGGGAATACAACAGAAACAAAAGTGCTGATGCCCTGCAATTTACACATTTCCAAAATTACCAACTTGTAATTCTTTGGAAATTATGCATCCACTGTTTATAGGAGGAAATTTCCATGTTTCCAAACTTAGCTACTTGGAGAAAATACCTGATTTTGTATTCTCCATGGAAATAATGGATTTTCTAGGAAATAGGAGATCCACTTGTACAGTAAGTAGTGTAGTGCAAGTTGATTTCATTGAACTTCTTCCTATTCTAGAAAGTGGATAGTAGTTTCACAATTCTAGTAATTGAAATTATATTGTGCCAAGCACATTATAATGTTCAACAGAGGGCACCAAGAAGTACCAGAAGCAGCAGGAGTTCCTTTTTGTGATCCTTTTGCCCCTTAAATGTTGTATTTTTAGTTAAATAAGAAGCCATGAAATTTAAATTACAAATTTGTGTTTGAATATAATATATCAATAAAAGAATTATGATTCATGTGGTTCATGCATAGTTAGCCTATGATGATACGTTGTAAACTTTGCTTTTGATTAAAAACTAACACTACTATGATAAGAAAAATACTGAACCTCAGCTTTTGAAACAATCCAGGAGTAGGAGATGCATTTGTCAACGGACTGTTAAGAATTACAAGCTTTGAAATTCTGCTTGGGTTTTTCAAGGCCCAGGTCAATCCATATGAACCTACAAGAAATCCCTACAAGGATAATGTGTAAGCATATTTTTACTGATATAGATACAGTTCAACTATCAACAAAACAGAACTAATTACTTTTTAAAGGAACGAGAATCTATTTTCAAACACATATTTAAATCTATATAGATGAGTCAAAAACTTATTCAACATGAAACAAACAATAAATATTTGTTCTGAATTAAAAGTAATCAAACCTGAACTACGAGAAAAAATGGAGATTCAATGCCCAGGACTTCAAGTAATTTATCAAATTCTACATGGAATTCCTGCTCTGCAAGAATAAAGATGTTGGACTTGCATAAATAAGATTCTTATTAACACATAGATATAATTACATAATACCAAAATTACTAATCCAAAAAAATGCCCAAAACCTGTATAGTTAAATCCATATCCTGGCTGGGGCTTATCACTGAAGCCAAATCCAATCCAATCAGGTGCAAAGCAATGGAAGCCAGCATCGGCCATCTGTCAAAGTAAAAAAAATATTTTCAAGAAATAAAAATACCATCAAGTGAAGCGGGTATTGCTATTGCCATCGCACTATAAGCAGATATCTTTTGGGATTATCTTCATTTTATATGGTTTATGTGAATTTTACATCTATAGTCAGTGAAAATTTGCAATGGTTTGTTTCAGTTGAGCTAGATGCATTTGAAATTTTGAAGATGCCTTTCCAATTTTTAACATTACTTGTTGAAAAATTTCAATTGCAAGACATGAATGTAACTGCCACACAAATCACGTCATAGGAAAATTGGTGGGAAAGGGAGATTGAAAAGTCCATGGAAATGCAATTTATGTGTAATATGATGGAGGATCTGGATGTTCCAAGGAACATAAGTTTTCTTAAATATTAGCCCTGTACCAGGTTTAGTAGCATCAGTACAGTGGCAGTTCAAGGGGTCACTGGTTTTAAATTCCACTGGTATTTTTATAATTTTACAAAGTTTTCCATTTTTGTGGATAGGCACCATGAAATTTAAAAGTGATTATATTTTAAGAGTTTAAAATATGTGGAAAAGGAACCCAAGATAAAAAGAGAAACAATAGGAGATCGAGAAAAAAATGAACAATTAATTATTCCCCCAAAGAAAAAGAAGGAAGAAACCATTTTTTTTTTCTTTTTATCTTATGAACTTTGACTAGAAACCCAGAATTTCATTTGAAATTTCAGTTGCAAACCAGGTCAAAGACCTAGTTTGAAACTGTGGATTAAAACCTTGATTCAGGTACCTCGATAAGATCTTAAGACCCTTTTGGATAACTATCCAATCAAAGAATACAGAAGTAGGGATTTCTACCCTTGGTGCCATTAAAGAGCAGGAAAGATTACATTAATAACAAGGAAACTTCGATAATCCAAAATCTAGAGGTATCCTATAAATCCAAAACAAAACTTGTGACAAACCTGAGCCATGACCACCCGGTAGCTATAAGACTGTGTTGGAGCCCCATGAATGAAAACAATTGTGCCACGTCGGCTCCCAGGGGATCCTGCAGGGAAAAACTTTCTTTACCAACATGTTCTTCTAAGGCAAAGAAAATAATTATAAACAAATTATGGCAGTCCTTTTCCACCTGTTTCTCTCACAAACCATCTAAACTTCCCTGATTTGACATAAGAACCATACTCCTTCCCCTTGTCTTCTATCCTCTGGATATGAAAACAATGTGAGTCATGACAACACTTATAGTTTATTAAAAGAGAAAATCAAACTCACTTTTAGAATCTTCACATCATCTAACTTATATCCATAATACCATAATACCAGAAGGCTATGACTTTTGATGATCAGAAAAGTTGATACCAGAGAAAATCCAACAGAATCAATCAACAAGTATCAGCATTTAAAAAAAATGCACTCAAATTGCCTGATCTTGGATGCAACAAGGAAATAAAAGTTCCTTTTTTTTTTCTCCCCATTAGGTAGTTCATGATTTTAACACCCCTAAATGATTAGCTGATATTTAGTTCAGGATTCTTATATGCATAGACATAGAATAAGCATGACAATTTGAGTTATAATGCACATGATTAAGAGCTTAATATACCAGTATGCGCATAATACATTGGGTAAAAAACTATATCATCTATAAGATCATAACATGATCACAGAGTCTCATTGCAAACATGATAGGCATTTTCAATTTTGTTCCAACAGAATCAATCAACAAGTATCAGCATTTAAAAAATGCACTCAAATTGCCTGATCTTGGATGCAACAAAGAAATAAAAATTCCTTTTTTTTCCCCATTAGGTAGTTCATGATTTTAACACCCCTAAATCATTAGCTGATATTCCTTTAGTTCAGGATTCTTATATGCATAGATGTAGAATAAGCATGACAATTTGAGTTATAATGCACATGATTAAGAGCTTAATATACCGGTATGCGCATAACAGATTGGGTAAAAAACTATATCATCCATAAGATCACAACATGATCACAGAGTCTCATTGCAAACATGATAGGTATTTTCAATTTTGTTAGTCCAAGATGGATTCCAGAGGACTACATTAAGTATTAAGTGAAGTGTGCATCTGTCTGAGAAAGATGGATTGACTTAAATTGGGGCCAAGCAGGCAAGGAAGCCTACATTTACACGATTGGTGAACCAAACGTGAAAAAAAAAATATATGAAATCACAAAATAACAAATTGTCACTTTATTTCTCAGAGAAGAGATTAAGTCAAACCATTCTTGAAACCATTCTTTGGGAATAGGGAATACTTGTTCTTCCAAGCTCTCGAGGATCACAATGTGGGCATAAACATTTTAGTAATCACAAATTGAATGGATTGCAACAGAAATTTCCCTTACATAGAGCATCTGCCCAACATTCCCATCCTCGGCAGGGCTCTCGGGAAGCTGAATAGCTCCTCGGCTGGACGGATTATCCGTGACGAAACCGAAAGGATTGAAGGCAGGCTTATCGTCTTCTGTCCTTTTCCCACTGCTGTTGTTCTCAGAAGCAGCTGCCATGACTCTTACTCTTCTCCTTCTCAAGTACATCTTATTCTTCTTCATGGCGTCGTAGGCCATTGTTGAGCTTGGAAGCTTGAGAGAAGGGGAGAGCAGGGCCGACGCCATTATTTCGAGTAGAGCCTGCTGTCTGAAGTCTGAACCAACGAAGACCACCAGCTTTCTTTCTTATTAGTCGGTTGGTTGGTCGTTTTTTTGAATTTTCATGCTTGTGGCTCAAACCGATTACATGGGGTCCATCAAGTGGGCGTAGAATGCCTTCCGTGTATTTTGGTAATCATCCTATTTATAATTATTCAGAAAACACGTGGTTCCAGAACCAAGAATTGTCAACCGTCGGACTGGAATCTGAAAGATACTTGGTCGAGTAATGAGATGATTCATTTTTTATTCTAATCGGACGCTTAGAAGACCGTCCTTACGTAAGCGCGTGCTTTATCACTTCCCGGGAAAGCAAAGGGGTGGGAATTCTCAATTATCGACGTCGACTCGACTGGAAGAAGGGAAGCTCTCCACCATGCTGACCGGCGATGGCTTTTGATCCGTTTGGCTTCTCTGGAGCGACAAGACCATCTCGGCGAACAGGAAACCTGGAGAAGACACTGTAAGAGGTTGAAATCATTACTCTTTTGATTTTCTTCATTCACAATTTTGATCATCGATTGAACTATTTGCAGCGTTTGCTGAAAAATTGGTCATTTATCTCTAAAATCTTCTTGGTTTCTTGTTAAAAGTCGTGTCTTTTTGGTGGAATCACGAAATAGTCTCTTGCTGCAAATTTTCATTTTGTTGCTTCTCTTTCGATTGATATATTTCATGATGTTTGAGTTTCCAGAAATAGAGATGAACGAAATTGTTTCTGCTTCTAGTGTTCTCCTTGTTGATGTTCTGTGATGGATTTGGACTCGGGTTTCTCTGTTTTTGTGGAAGAGAGCAGGGATTTTAGTAGGCTTTTATGCCTGGACCGAACCACTGAAGTATCTTCCACAATTTAATCATCGCGAGTTGTGGCTGTAAGTGAACTGAAACCCAAGAGATGCCTAAGGTCAATTTTAGGACTATAACGTTTCTGGTATCTTTGGATGGTTTAGTTCATCCGGAAATTCGAGTTAATGGATTTCAACAGAGCCATCCTAGTGGGACTCCTGTGTGCTGTTGGCGTTGTCTGGGTAGGAATGAGCAGATAAGTTCTAGTTAATTTTCCTGTGGGCGCAGTTAAGGGTTCGATCAATGTAAATTTGGAGTGCTTTTAGTTTGAATGACTCGTATTGAGCCTTTCAATATGATTCTTTTGAAGTTGTTTTCGGGTGGTCAAATAGCTAAATTGTCTTGGAATTTTTATGGGTTTGGGGGGGGGGGGGGATCATATACATTCCAGTCATTTTACTTCAATTTTGATGGTAGAGAATTTATGGAAAGAKTACTGAACCTGAAGTAAAACAAAACACGTAGAAAAAAACCATGTCTATCCGTATTGTTCTCTTTCAGTRACAAGACAACGTCATTTCAGTTTTGTCGAAAAAGATCTGTGATCCCTTAAAAAAGAAAAATATCCGCGACTACTTCCAGTGACAATTGTTCGGTCGATCTGATGGATNGGGATCAATGGGTAGAACTTTGAAGTTTGAGTTTCCTTTGTGGTTTAATTCAAATCATTCAAGTAAGATTTTTGATTTGCATTTAGAATTTGAAACTCTTGACAACTTGTGTCTTGAGGGAAAGAAAAAAGAAACAAACTTATCATCTTTGGGTTCTATTATCAAAAAATGTTCACAACTTTGTTTATTGATTTCTTCTAATACATTACTAATGCTCATAACACATTTCTACTTGTTATTAATTGGTTGGTGGGTTATTGTTCCCACCAATATATTCAGAATCTTATAGGACAAAGTATCTTTAAGGTTGAACTCGTGAATCATAGATTCACAGAGATTTCAATTAGAGTAGAATCAAGTTCAGGCAGTCCATATATATGGTATACATAGACCTGGACTCTCTTATGTACATTTGTTTTGGGCCTTGTTGAGTTCAAATGTGGGTATGACACAAGTTGTTACAGAGTCACAGACCTAGACCCACCAAATGATCAGAATTAATCTGGTATGTAGAAATCGCCAACATCCTATTGAATAACACTGAGAAGTGGGTTTGTTCTCTTCATTCCTACAAATTTCATTATTCGTATTTTTACATGTTTATTGGGTATTCATTAATTGAGTTTATGATTGTACCTGATCCCCAATGGGTCTTTAATTTATGGACCTTAATTGAACCCAGTTATTATTAGGTCCAAAATTGGTGGACAGAATCCGTACTAATCAGGCCATGGTTTATTGGATATCTAGATAAGTGAGTACCTGTACTACCTGTTGCCAGTTATCATCATTTTTAAACTGGATGACTTCTGAGAGAGCAGAAGTGCAAACATCCAGACCTCCAAGTCATTGAAGTTTATCTTGAACTTGGGTTCAGCACCACATTTCTTGCAAACTTCCTATGGAAGTTTACCACAAGTGCATCTTTGCCAGTGTTGATGTTCTGACTTTAGGTGATTGATACCACATCCATGGTTTGGATTTTCTCCACAGCAAAATGTCATCTTCTTTACAAAGATATTCCACCTCTCTTAATGTTGATACTTGAGAACTTTGGTATTGAAGAATCTTTCCCAAAAAAAATCAAATTCATGTGCACAAGTATTCCAAATTTTGGCAAACTATTTGGGAAATTTCATCCTCTTTACCTAATTGACTATAAATAACCCTGATGTCTTGGCAACACTGTTTCCTCTTACTGCTTTTGGCATCTCTCAATAATTCATTATTTGTTTATTATTTACTTATTTATTTTTTATTCTTCACACTTAAACTCATTTCAAGATCCAAAATCTCAGGCTGACAAGTGTGAAAATGCAGGTTTATCTGAGTGTAGCCACTTGTATAAAAAATGCCAAAGGTTAGGTCCCTATCTAATCCAACCCTCCCAAGACCTTAGATGGTTGGGACCTACATTGGGTAATGACCTTTTTTCTTTATCAAGTTAACTTGGAACTGAGAAGTTATGACTGAATATATTTAGATGAGTAAGATTGGATTCTACATGATACCAAGTTCTAGAAAAAATGCCTATTAGAACCGAAATACTTAAAAATAGAAACATAAAAGAGAACCTTTAAGTGGTTACATAGTATATCTTAGTTGGTAACTTGGTATATTTAGTGTTCAGATCCATTTCCCTTGCATGAGAGCTTCCTTTCAATAAAAGAAAGGCAGCAGGACAGGACTTAACAATAAAATAGCTATTTGAGTCTGGGTCCCAGATCCTTGAAGTCTGAGTTAGGGGATTTGAATGTAGAATGTTGTAGCTCTTCTAACAGCAGAATGGTTGTATCTGGGTCCCTTCAAAATTGGTAGTAGGTTGGATGCAAACAAACAGTTTGGGCACTTGGTCCCTTAGACAGCTTGTAAGGGAAATATTGTACCTAACAAGGGAGCTTGAAACACATTATAAATGGAGTAGGAGGTAAGCAAATGCAATGGTTGATACCTTAGCAAAGCAAGGAGTTAGCGGGGAAAATATTTTCTGGGTGTGTTTGTAAGTTGTTTTTGTTTTGAGGGGTCACCTTGCCTATGAAGGTGACACTATGAAAGTTACCGTTTCCCATAAAAAAATTGTATCTGGTTCCCAGTGCACAAGATTCCCGCCAATGCGAGGTCTGGGGAGGGACAGATGTATGCAGCTTTACCCTGTAATACAAAGAGGCTGTTTCCAAGATTTGAACCCTGGTCAACCAAGTTGCAACGGAGCAACCCAACCATTGAATGCCAAGACCCACCCTCAATGATTGTATCTGGTTCCAATCATTCAAATTCCTTTTAAGGTAAAGATTCCACTCTGCCTTTTCATCTGCTATTACTGTTTTACAGATTCTGCCTTGTCAGATGCAAGGTTGAAGAGGGAAAGGCTGTCTTGATAGGTTGGTTCTCTACTCTACCCATGGGATCTTTAGAGATTACATAGTATAAATGAGAATAGAATTTTATCTAGTTGAATTATTTAAAGAATTGATTTAAGGGAAAAAAGAAAGAAAAAAAACAAGAAAAAGTGATCCTAAAATTTCGTATGTGGTGAAATCCATTGCAGCTGATAATGGTTCGTTATTTATCACAATAAAATGAAAGAATATCAATTTTACCTTCAAAGGTAGATTACTCAGTTGGTCTAGATTCTAGACAATTCTCTTCAAATAATTCACACTAATGTTCCTACAATTACCTCTTCATATTGTAGTGGATTGTGAGTAATGAGATGGTTTAAAATGTCCCTAATTTCCCTAATATTTCCACGACATATTTCCATTTCCATGGGTAGCGACACGAAATTTTATTAGAATCGACATTTCCCCAATGAACACTACCAACACTATGTGGAGTGCAAGAGATAGTTTCCACGACATACTTCCATTTCCACTTCCATGGGTAACAACATGAAATTTTACTGGAATTGACATATTCCCCATTGAACACTACCAATACTATGTGGAGTACAAGAGATAGTATTATAACATAATTTGGTAATAATATTGTAGGTATGTGAAGTAGCAAGTTATTGTCCACCTAACTTATATGATTACCACTTTGAGCTAACTCAATATTCATTTCAAATATAAAGTTAAATATTAGTTTTTTTTTTGTGTAATAGATTATTTGGTTAATCTATTACAACCATTTACATTTTCTATGAGTTCAAATTCTGCTTTAACTCGTTCTATCATGAAGCTCCGAATCTTAAGGTTTATAGGGCAACTTTAGAATATATTCTTTTATTTATAACCTTATTTTCTTAGCTTTGTTTAATGATTTAGAATAAGATAATAATTTAAAAAGGTGTGCCTATGCTTCTTTTATCATTTCATAAAATAACATTCTATATTTTGCACATTTTACAATGTTTCCACCATATCTATAATTTTTGTAATATTTCCGTACGATATTTCTGACATTTCTGACGTGTTTCTTATATTTGGATGACCAACATTTCCACCAACATCAACATTTCAAAACTTATAGTGGATGGCATAACAGTTAAACAGAACAATCTATAAGAGTTGTCATTTCCATGCCCAATGTACGAAGTGGGAAAAAAAATACAAACTAAGTGTTATCAAGGCTACAAGAAAATAATCATTAATAAGCTAGAATCTTCACAGTATGACTAGATAATTGTCTCCTTGGGTATCAGTACAAAATTTCGAATGACTATGAGTCTTTTTTCTTTGTGTCTTCTCAGAACTATAAAACACCATATTCTGATATGTCTGATCTAGATTTTTTGTCTCATTCTGAATCAACATGATCGACAGGTGTTCTAATTTCCACAAAGTTGCAAATTTGTCCTATCACTTCCCATGAGTTACACTACTTTTAGAGTCTAAATATCAATGAAAAATTTTAGTTGTAAAGGAATGTGGCTTTTTTCACATCATTTGAGGTTTTGCTTCATGAGCCATCATATCCCAGAAGGACAAACTTTTCTTTAGTTGTGCCTTTCTTTACGTGACCCATCTATTGCAGAAGAGTTTGATATTTAAGGAGTGTCTAATGGACTCATTTTGGAGACTTGTGTCATATTCAATAGGATCAGAAACATTATTGTTCAGAAATCAATTAAGAGGAGAACTAGTTCATCATCATCATCCAAACCTTATCCCAACTACATGGAGTTGGCAACACGAATCCTGTTTCGCCATTCCGTTCTGTTTAAGAGAACTAGTTAAAGAAATCAACTGAAAACTGGTTTTTATTTAATAGATTGTCCAAGTAACAAGAGGTTATTTTATAACATCCCAAAAATAATAAAAGCTTCAATCTTTTATTAACATTATTCTGTTTCGCTTTTGTTCCAGATGGAGGAAGTTTCTCTTAACAGTGAACCTGTATTTGAGATGGAAGATGAAGGTGGTGAATCTGAGATGGAAGGAGATTGTACTATAATGGAGTCAGATGGCCAAAATGGTGAAATCCATGGAAGCAAGGAACCTGTGCCACCTGCTGTTGGGATGGAATTTGAATCTTATGATGAGGCTTATAAATTTTACAATTGCTATGCTAAGGAGCTGGGATTTGGTGTCAGAGTAAAAAATTCATGGTTTAAGAAAAGAGGGAAAGAGAAGTACATTGTAGTGCTTTGTTGCAGTAGAGAAGGTTTTAAGAGGGAAAGAGGAGCAAAGCGTTCAAGACCAGAAACAAGAACTGGTTGTCCAGCAATGATAAGAATTAAGTTGATGGACTCTACAGTGTGGAGAGTGATTGAAGTTAGGCTTGATCACAACCATTCAAATAGTCCAGCAAGTGCACGCTTCTATAAATCACATAGGGCTAAAAGAAATTCACAGTTATATTGTGATTCTGGAATTGCTCTCGATGGAAGGGAATATGAGAACTTGGTTGTTGATGGAAGATATCTCAAGAATTATGCCGATCAGTGCAATCGGTTGAAGCTTAAAGAAGGAGATGCACAGGCCATTTATAATTACTTTTCCCACATGCAGTTGACAAACCCAAGCTTCTTTTATTTGATAGATGTCAGTGATGAAGGATGTCTAAGAAATGTGTTTTGGGCTGATGCAAGGTCTAGGGCTGCATATGTCTACTTTGGAGATGTAGTTGCATTTGACACTATGTACTTGACAAAAAAGTATGATATCCCTTTTGTGTCATTTCTTGGAGTGAACCACCATGGGCAAACTGTCCTGTTGGGTTGTGGTTTGCTTGCAAATGATGAAGTTGAGTCTTTCATTTGGTTGTTCAAGGCATGGCTTACATGCATGTCAGAACGGTCTCCATATGCCTTGATTACCGACCAACCTAGGAATGTGCAAAAAGCAGTTGCTGAAGTATTCCCAAGGACCAACCATCGTCTTTGTTTGTGGAACATTATGCAAAAAGTTCCAGTGAAATTGGGTGGTTTGCCTGAATATGAAGCAATTAAAAGTGCATTTAATAAAGCAATTTATAAATCCTTGACAGTGGATGAATTTGAAACAGCTTGGGAGGATATGATCCAGCGCTATGGAGTTGGGGATCATGAATGGCTCCAAGCATTGTATGAAGATAGACAACGATGGGTTCCAACTTTCTTAAAAGACAATTTTTTTGCAGGAATGTCCACCATCCAACCAAGTGAAAGCATTAATTCATTTTTTGAAGGATATATCCACAAGGATACTTCTTTGAAGGAATTTCTTGGTAAGTACGAATTGGCCTTACAGAAGAACCATCAGAAAGAAGCCAAGGCAGATTATGAGTCCAGAAACTCAAGTCCCATGTTGAAAACAAGATGTTATTTCGAGTTGCAGCTCTCCAAAGTGTACACAAAAGAAATCTTTAAGAAGTTCCAATGTGAAGTAGAACATGTATATTCATGTTTCAACATAACACAAGTACATGTTGATAGGCCTATCATTACATACATAGTCAAAGAGCGTTCTGAGGGTGAACAGAACAGCTGGGAAATCAGGGATTTTGAAGTCTTATATAATGCAGCTGAAATGGATGTTCATTGCATCTGTGGTTGGTTTAACTTTAAAGGTTACCTATGTAGACATGCATTAAGTGTCTTGAACTACAATGGTGTGGAGGAAATCCCACCGCAATTCATTCTGTCAAGATGGAGGAAGGACTTTAAGTGCATATATGTTCCATATCATGATTCTGACAACATTGATGTTAATAATCCAGTACAACGTTATGATCAATTATACAAACATGCCCTTCAAATTGTTGAGGAAGGGGTGATATCTCAAGAACGATACAAGGTCGCTTTACAAGTTCTAGAGGAGTCATTGAACAAGGTTCGTCTCATAGAAGACCATGTATGACTCAAATTATTAAGGTACAATATCCATTTTATACCTATACTATTTTTACTTTGTTTCATTTTTAACATGACACTATGAGACCCATCTCTCTTTCTCTCTCAACACACGTGTGTGTTCATGTGTTTTTTTTGGGTCTTTGGCTTTCTTTTTCTGATCTTTATTTTTTTGGAGGTGGGGTTACTAGTTTTGGAGGGTGAGACTTAGTGCAATGGTTGGGTTGCTCCATTGTGACCTAGGTGACCAGGGTTCAAATCTTGGAAACAGCCTCTCTGTATCTGCAAGTGGAAGGCGGCATAATCTGTCCTCCCCATACCTCACATTTGGCAGGAGCCTCGTGCACTGGGGTTGCTAGCTTTGGAGTAATAGAACAGGCTAGGTGCAGGGTGAGCTTCAACCTGCCTATTTAAAGGCAATTAAATAGTCTAAATGGTACATTTTAACCTGTATCTGCTCTAACCCAACCCACCCAAACTGTTATACCCATTTAATCTTTCTAGGATGTTATATTGAATCTTTTGGGTCATCATAGGATTTTTTTTTGTGGGGTAATTGAGGGAAGGGATCACCTAAACAATCTGCAGGGAGACTCTACCCTACATATCACAAGATAAAATGTAGTTTAGCATCTGAGAACTGATACAACCATGCAGATTCTGTCCATAATTTGCTTTAACCAATCTGCAGCTTGGTTCCCCTTCTCTTCAAATGTGGCAGTAATGAGGCTCCAGTCATCACTCTTTTGCATTTTGATTACAATCTTCTAGCAGGTTCTTGCATCTTCATAGTAGCACTCTCTCATTTGGTAGACACTCTGGTGGTTAGGCTTAAATCTCCATCAATCCAGATTTCCAACAAGATGAGTTGAGCTGATAATATGTGGCCCATATTGGGATCCAATTGAGCACTGTATTAGCTGTTCTTGGGTCATAGTGAATTAGTTGAAATGACCAGCATATTAACATCCCATCCTAGATAGAATTAGCAAACATATAAAGAATTAGGCTGGTTTAATATGCTGTTTCTTTCCATCACAATTGTCATTTGATGCTTCTCCACATAGGCATTTGACGACTCATTTTAGCGGGTAAGGATATTACCTCAAACTTAAACCTCACCATGTATGTGAAGGGAGATCAAAATGAAGCCATCCGTGTTTCTTGCTCGGCATGCTCTTGATCCACCTGACACCGCCTTGAAAGGGGTTGAAGAGTCAAGTTTGTCAGCAATTAATAGAGATTGAAATCAGAATGTATTTACAGTTTTAACTTGTGAATTCTAAAAGGATCTGGGACCTGCCCCAAGGAGCTTGTTGTGTTGTATTGTATTGCTGTTACTGTTGATAAAATTCTTACCTTCTTCAAAGAGAAAAGGGATTAAATGAGTGAAATTGTATAAAGTTTGTTGTCTCAATTAAGAGGTCCGTAGCTATGGTTACAATAGAAGGAAGTTTTTTGCATAAAGTTGAGAGTGCAGTATCTGTTGTAATGTGAATTGATAATGTTTCAAGGTGCTGGTTCGTGACGGAAATTATTTGCTTCCATTCCGATCAGTTTTTGTGATGAAGACACCATAAGTGACCTTAAGCTCAGGTTAGGCCTTTGCATGTCGTTTCAGAACTCAAAGTCGACAGAGGGTCACAAAATCAGTAAATAGGTAAGCTAGAGCTAACCTTTTCTTTTAATAAAATTTCTTTCTTCTCGATTCTTTAAAAAAAAATCAGTAAAGAGGTAAGCTAGTGGTAGTTTTATCTTTTAAATTGAAATCTTAGGGACTACTCGAGCTCGAGCCTTCTGAAATACACTAATGCTGTGTTTGGTTAGAGAAAATAAGGCAGAAACAGAAAGTTGAAAGAAAATTCTTTAGGAATTTCACAAGAATCCTTGATTACACTTTCCCTCAACTTTTCTGTTTCTCCCCAAGTTTCTACCAAACCTAGCACAAGTTACAAAACCTAGGTGAGGAAACGAAAAAAGTGGCAACATTAATATAGAGCGCTTAATTCCTGACCCATTATTTACAAAATATCTTTCTACTGTGACCTTAGGAAGTGTTTGGCAAGTCTTTTTGTGTGATCTTTTTGGCTTTTCAAAACTTGGAAGACCAAAATTTGGTCTTTCTCTTTTTGGCAATGAATGAAAGAAAGTCAGAAAGACCTATGCTCTAAAAAGCTCATGAACGCCCAAAATGACCAAAAGTCTTTCATTTAACAGCATTAAAGAGCAGGACCCCCAAAACTCATTACATATGTTGGTCATCTGGGCAGTTAGAAGATCTTCCTAAAAAGGGGAAATGCGTTAAAGAACAGAAAAAAAAGCCAGACATTTATTATGAATTTAAGAAAATTAGGTCTGTCAAAAATATGAATATATTTCACCACATGGAATAAATACATTCAATCGGTTTAAATGAAAAATAACAGGAAATTCGCATCAATTGCTTCGCTCTTAGCTTTATCGACCTGAGGTTTCAATAGACAAAACCCAAAATTATACCAATTGAATAAGCCGCTTTATCCTTGTTCATAGCTCTGCTTGAAAAAAAAACAAAACCAAAATTATACCAATTGAATAAGCCGCTTTATCGTTCATAGCCCTGCTTGAAAAACAAAGAGAATATTCACTGATACCTACAAAGCTATCCAAGCCATGGACTTCTCGACAGGCATACAATCAAGTCAAGCCTCAACAAAAAAAAGCCACCCAAAATATGTCGAATTACCAAAAAATTTGAGACAGCAAAAGATTTGACAACTTGTAATGGATAATCCCCTACTCCCCAAACCAACAAAATGCAATGAAGCAGCACCAGCACACAACACCTGTGTAATGTGTTCATTTAATGCAGGAAGGCAGTGTCACTCCATGGCAAATAAATGCAATCACGATATAAATAACCACCAAGAGGATGAAAATCAATGTAACTCTGCAAAAAGGCAAAACATTCAAGAGTTAGTACGATAATGTTTTGATTATACATATGATAACACTATGAAATGTAAGAGGTCCACCTAAACCTAAACAACTCTCTTTTACATTGTCCAAGTTGTAAACTTGTAGAAAATATATATGCTGTATATGGGTTGCATGTATGAATGGGAGGTGGTCCTATTTAAACTCCCAGGCTTGAAATACCCCAGATCAAAGCTTTTAGATGTTTCATCTCATTGTTCCATGTAATCTCCTAGCATTTTAGATGTTTTGGTTGATAATTTATATCCAACCTCATAATCTCTTCCTAACTACAGGGCCTTTTGGCAAATCTTTTTGGAAAGATCTTTTAGTAGCTCTGACAGTCAAAAGATGCATTGAGCTTTTTCGTGAAGATCTGAGCAGCCCGAAGCTAGTTTGGATATCACGTGTCTTTCTGTGTCTTTTTGCGCGAGAATAAAGCGAGAAAGATGCGAAAAGCTTCATGTCTTTTCGGTGCACCGACTTTTCGCAGCTAGATCTATTACGAACCAAATGGAGAAAGACCATGGCACGGTCTGCCCAGCTTGTATACAGCTGAAAGACCACATGAAAATTTGGGTTCAGGTCTGGGAGAGGCCACTTTGTGCAAAAAAATGCCATATTGGGTAATGGCCTTTTTTAATTAGGATGAAATCAAGATTGGAGACCAATAGATACCTCAATGTAACATCCTTTGATAGTCTGGTTCAACAATTCACAATAAAGGATAGATTTAAAAAGATGTCACCCATAGAATCGGAGTGGAAATGAAATGAAAGGGTGCATCTGAAGTCCTATGTAATGGGAGAATACCACTTAGGCTAAATGGAGAATTTAAGCCAGCAATGTGTTAAATGGAGTAAACAATATATCCAAAATATGAGTGTAGTAGAGATTTGGATGTTGAGATGGATGAGTACGAAAAAGTATAATAAGACCATATTCAACACCAGTAAGAAGTGACTTTTGCAAGTTAAAGGGTCTAGAAAAGCTAGGAACAGGCCAAAATGAACATGGGTTGAAGTAGTTAGAAATGATTTGAAGGCCCATAATTTAACATTGTATATGACATTGAACAGAGCAGGATGGTGGAACAAGATTTATGTAGTCAACTGCATATAGCTGGGACAATGCCTTGTTGAGTTGAGTACTTGGGTTCTGTCAAGTTTACTGATTGGATTAAAGTCTATAAACTTGGACTGGTTACCAACCTATAATAGTCAAAACTGCCTCCTTTTTTAATCAATAACTGAAACAATAGTAAAAACTGCCATCTAGTTGAACCACAAAACCCAAAGACCAAGAGGAATCCATTTAACCTTAGCCACCCCTTTACATAACTCCATCCAAATAGTTTTTCATCCAATTGACCAAATTCACTAATTTTCTCAGCTCATTTCTTACCCTATGAAATTTCATGCGATTTTCTGCATAACCTGAGAAATCATCTTGAAACCTTTATTCAGCCCATATAAACACTTCATTCCAATACCAAACTAACCTCATACTGATCAAAAGCCAAACTAACCTCAATTGCCTAATTGAACTACCAGATTTTTCAATTCATCCTTAAACATGGTCTTAAACCCTAAGTTTCATCCAATTTCCCTAGCTTTTCCACCAAACAATCTTCATATCAAATGGCTGTAATCATAGACCTATTCATTTTCAAAGATAAATAAATAATCACTAAATCTCTTAAAACTCAATGCCACAATTCCTTAGGGGACCCATCTTTTAATTCCACCCATCGCCCACAAAAGAAAAGAAAAATAAGAGATAAGGAAAGAAAGAAAAGCTGCAATATATACAGAGGCAGCTACAAGGATCTTTTCCCATCATATCCCAATGCAAGTGTTCCTTTATGCATGCATACCTGCATAGGGGGGTGTGTGTGAGGGAGGGAGAAAAAAGAGGTAAAGATGGTAACACATACGTGAGCTTTACATTTCTCCACCATACAGTATTCCTAAAACGGCGAGATTGCTTTCTGAAGCGAATAGTATTTCCTTGCATATTCTCAGTCTTACCAACCAGCAAATCCAAGCGATCTCCCCTGTCTAAAACTTTATCAATATTCTCTAACATGACATTACGCACCTGTCAAATAGTATAGAACTTCGGATGTTAAAAACTTAAAATCTCAAATAAAAAGAGACAAAAACCCAATTGAAAAGTGAGTGTAGAAGAACACAACTGAAATAACAATCAAAAGGTATATATATCCCCGAAGACAATCCAAATATTTACCTGATTCATTTCACCTTTCAACCGGTTTATCCTATCTGCATTAGGGTCATTTGAATAATAATCCATTTGTTGACTCAAAACCCTTGAAAATTCATCATTCATGGCATAAGCAGCAGCTGTATGAACAGCTCTGCCATAAGTCTTTACAAATTTTTGATGAATATCTTCTAGAAAAGCAAAAGGAATCCTCCCTGCACAGAAAAAGGTCCAACAAAGATTACAATTTACGCATGCTATTTAGTCGAGAAATGGCTGTAAGACTACAAACCACTACCCAGCAGTTACCAAAAGGAACTGAATACATCACAGAATAAAATAGCATAGATGTTAATACATGAAAGAAGCATGTTACTCTTCATTTCCTAAAATCCATGAAAGAAAATAGAACAGATGAATATACAGCACGCTGATAGCCTGATAAATTCTTTAATCACTTTTGTGCCAAGTTCCAAAGTTTTCTCTCTCATTATTTCTGCCAAGTTCCAAAGATAACATGATATATCGGTTCTTGCAAAAGCCGCCCAAAATCCATTCAGTTTTATAGGATCAAATCTTATCTATCTACATATCATCAAACAACTCTCTCGCACTTGCCTTTATATAGAGAAAAGTGAACCCGAAACAAAATTAAGAAAATATCAGTCTTTTATTAATCTGAAACTAAAAAGAATGTAACGCAGTTCCTGTTATTCCCTCACCCAAACTAAACTTCCAAAGGATGCATTCAATAAGAAAAATTGAACAACGAATAGTGCTATGGATTCCACAAAATAAGCACCTAGACAAAAATCACAACAGAGAAATCCAACAGGGTGGACCGATCAATCGGAAAGGAAGAAGGAACTCACTTCCCGCAGTGTCATCGGCCATGCATAGCACAGTGAGGCCGTCGGTTCTCTTAACATGGAAGATGTATCGATCCTGTGAGTACGATACATGGCTGTCATTGGTGCCTGGGATCTTCTCTAGTATCTGCCGAGCGATAGCATTCGCATTCGTCGAAGTTGAACTGAATTCAGCCAAGACCGCGGATCCCCTCGCCACCAGAGCATACAGGATGGTCATCTCTCTCTATCTCCGATCAACAACGATTGATCAAATTTTTTTTTTTCTTTTCTCTTTCTTTCTCTTTCTTTATCTAGACAGATCGAGTGAAATAGTTTTTGTTATCTATCCGAGTCGGTTAGATTCATTTCCGGGAATCGGAACCTCAAACAAAAACTAGGGTTTCGATGGGATTTGGCGGAATTTAGCTAAATTTAGCGACGATGATAGAGGGAATAAGGAGAAGAACGGAGTATACGAAGTTACGAACACGGAAAAGGAAGGCAGAGTGGATGAAGAATGCTCGTTTTGATTTATTTATTTCAAAGCTCTTTGCTTAGCTGGTTTACAGTTATTGCCAATAACAGACATGTATGAATAGTACAGGTGGACGAATCACCTATTGACAAGTGGCGTGAGAGATCCTTCTGTCTTCTAAATCTTTCGGGATATCAGGCGACCCACTGATTGAACGGTTCGGATAGTGAGAGCTGCCCTAAACCGAGGACCGAGGCAAAACAATTGTGGGTTGGTCTCCGCCTTTCCGGGTCTCCTTGTCTTGGTAAGGGTTTGGAGTCTGGAGCGAGCTAGAAAACCCGGAAACGGTTAGCTGTGAATCCTATTTTCCTTTCTTTTTGCTTTGTGTAAGTTGAAAAGCAATTTTCTTGGGGTCGTTTGGCTTTGCTACTTGGAAAACATTGCACTGCAACTATGAACTACCAAATAGGGCTGCAACCTGGGAAACTCGGGTTGGGTTTGGGTTCAGAACTCGGATAACCCAAGCCCACCAGAATTAATGCATACATATATGTAATTTATTTATATAAAAAAAATATATTTTTTCTAATTATATATACATGTACATAATATATAATATATTTATTAATAAAATTTGTATATAATTTCAATCCATTTTACTCTTAAGTTGGGATATAAAACCTAATAAAAATGCTTGTACAAAAAAATCATAAATTCTTTCAAACCCGACTAATCTGTTCAAATTGATCCAATGCATTTTTTTTTTGGATTAAGCTCAACTGCTCAAGTTAGGTTTGGGTTGGTAAATTCAAGCTTGAGTTTGGGTTGGGACAGGTCTAAGCTTAATATTTGCATTTTAGGGCTGGGCCTGGGTTGACACTTAACCAGACTCAAACTGCCCAAGTTGCACCCCTAATTACAAGTTTCAAGAAATGAAGCAAGTGTTTTATAAACAATTATATTATTTTCAAATAGCATGTGCCTATTTCAATAACATTAAATTAAACCTAATAAAACTTCTTATTTTACTACCATTTTTGTCAAGTAAATTATATTTGTTTTTTTTTTCTTTTTATTATGGCTTGGCTTGGGAAAAACTATAAATACAAATATGTACAGTACAAAACCTTGTATATTATATTTCTAAATCTTGTATTTGCATTGCATATTCTTTCCAAATTGAGTTTGAGCCTATGTAATCAACTTTTTTTTTTTAATTTGTGTATGGGGATATTTTGTCACTTTATATTTTGTATTTCTTTTATTTTGATAGGCCTATCTAAGGATGTCAAATTAACTTTGGAAGTCCAAAATCCAACTCGGATTCATATGATCTATTTATATAATTGGATCAGATTTGGATTACCCTAAAATCTGAATCCGATTATATTATAATATACATTAATTTTAATATATAAAAGTTATATAAATATATAAATCACCCAATATCTTAAAAGAGATGACCAATCAGGTGGTATTCGTCAAAATTCATAAGGGTGGTTTGATTGGTCAAATATCTCCGAGTACCATGTCTTTATGGTATTGTAGATTTTCTCATTTATTTTTTATATATAAGTTAAAAAGTGGTTAGCTTTTCTAATTCTTCTTTATTTTTAAAAATGAAGTAGGATTGGATTAAATCCAAATCTGATCTGATTTTGATAGGATTAGAATCTGATCAAATCCATTTGGATTCATCCCTGGGTGTAAACAGATGAAATTCAATTAGAAATTTCAATATTTGAATATTCAATTTAATTAAAATTTAACCATTTAATTATTTTAGGTAATTAAAAAATATATAAAATATCTAAATATATAAATGATTTATATAATTTAAATGTTATATATAATATATAATATTTAAATAATCAATCGAATTCATATATTTATTAAATCGAATCAGATCATATTCGAATTATATTCGATTATTTAAACAATATGAATAAGATATCTAAATTTGATTAATGATAATATTCTAATTATTCAAATTTGATTTAATTATGTCAAATCTCGAAGTCGATATAGATTTTTGAATACCATTGACACCTCAGTCCTAACTCCATATTTATAGATTTGAATTGAAATCCGATGAGTGAAGGTGATGCTTTCTTTCTTTTTAGTTGAAATGAAAAAGTTGGTTTATTGTTTTCGTCGTGTGCTCCTTAAATGTATGGAGGAGTGGACACAGCCAAATTCGTTTTCATTCTTTTGGTTTTTGTAACAATTGAAAGCTTCTTCGCGCTATCTTTTGAACTTGAAGGGGCCAAATGAAACTCATTCGCGCTCATCGTTCACGAACATGGGCTGATGGGCCCATCACTTTTTCCTATTCGTTGAACGAAGTCACGTCTCGTCAGTTGTAAAGGCGGGAAAGAGGGGCATGGATTCATGAGATGAAACTCTCGTCAGGTTTGGACCACAGATGGCGTACGTTTGGGAAACGGCCAGCATAGCAAAGTGGAAAAAGAAAAATCGGGTCATACGACCCTGGTCCTACCATGAAATGGGTCCCATCAAACAGATCATTTAGCTTTAATTGATCATGATGTTGAACCATAATAACTTGCTAAATTTCAGGGTCCATCTGATTTACGGTGGGAATTGGAATTTTGGGCGCATTTGATTTGCAGGAATAGAGGTGTGGAATTGGAATCAGAGTGGGTCATTCCCATTCCTGTGAAATGGTATTTCATCATTTGAGGGAATGACTATTCTCTCCCTTTTCTTTGAGAATGAAATCTTATTTTAGTTTTTTTTTTTTTTTTTTTTTTCCAATTTCTATTTCAATTCTTGTTTGAATGGGAATATGAATAGATATTCTGATTCCAATTCTGAAAGATTTTGATCCCGATTCCAATTATAATTTCAATCCCTTTATTCTCTTTAGTTTTGACAAAAAGTAGAATCAGATTCCATAAGATATGTATGACTTTAAAGGCCCGTTCGTTCTTTGATCTTAAGAGGGGGAAAATTAGTCAATGGGATTTTTGTTCTTATTGATCAAGATACCAATGTTCTATTTTTCAGATTATGTAGGGTCTGCGGAAAATTTATTTTCCCTCTCTTAGGTGGCTAAGGTGGGTAAACAACTTTCCCACTCAGGGGAAAGTTGCCACTTGCCAATGCTTTGATCGGACAAAATTGCTCCTCTTAACAATTGTTTTTTATGACTAAAATGGTCGTTGTTTTATTTATATGAGAAATAAAAGAACATGAACAAATATACTTACCTAAGTAAGTATTTTGCATTTATCTGAATAATTAACTTCTTAAAAAGCAAACAAAATGTAAGGATGATTGGTATTAGTTAAAGAGAAATAGGGTTTGAGATTTTTAAGTCATTTGATTTTTTTTTCTATTTTGACCGACTGGAATGAAATTAATTGTGAAAGGTCAAAATGGTCAATGCCTCAAATAAGAGAATGCCATTCTATCAGAATGGCCAATGGCTCATTCTGATTCTAATTTTAAATCCCTATTCTCACAAACCAAAAGGCCTCAGTATTTCTGCCTCCTCTTTGGTGGATACGTAGCTCAGCTGCTTAAAAGCACAGCCTGGATTAGTGGATCTGCATGGTTGTTCTCATTATTAAATGCACTATTCACATAAAAAGTCTCATTTGGTAGACCAATAAAAAAGACATAAATAATGGCTTCAAAGTGATGTGTGGGCTTCCAGGTTGTGGGTTCATTAATTTGAGAATTCGTTTGGGTGGAATAATACTACAACCCTCTTTGGCTCATTCTGTCTTCTTGGCCCATTTATAATTTAGCCCAGTCATAAGCATACGCTATCAAACTCTTATGGAATATACACTATCAAATAGTCCGATCCAAAGAGTCTGACTGGATGGTGATATAAACCATTGTTTTTAAAACCGACCTGGTGATCGAATTGGTCAGAGTCTGATTATCGGGTCGAACAGTCTGACTGTTCAAATCGAATGCTTGGCCCATTCTGATAAAAAAATAAAGAAATTCAAAAAATTCAAAAAAATAAATAAAAAACAGTCAAAATCGTTCAAACGGTTCAAACAGTTAACCACCCGGTTTAGTGATTCGTTGACTAAAATCAATGGTTTTAGGGGGGAAATCCAGTTTTTGGGGAAAACGGAACCCGTCCCAGTTTTTCCGGTCCGATCCGGTTTTGAAAACCATTATATAAACTGTAGATCTCCTCTTATGATTTTAAAGGTACATTTGGTTCGTGGAAATAAATGTTTGGAATCGGAATCTGAATGATCTATTCCAATTCCAATTGTTTTGTTAGGTGAAATTAGAATCCCATTCTTAGTGTAATGGCATTCACCCATTTGAGGGAATGGGCAATCCTTCTCTCCCTTTAGAATGAAATCTCATTCCAGCTGATTCTAATTCATATTTGAACCAAATGGACTATGATAATTGACCATTATAATTTTGACTTCGAAATAATTCTGTTTTGATTCCGATTCTGAGCAAGAACCACTATAACCTTGATAAAAAATTGGGTTGGACACTTGGGCTAGGTGGGCTACTTCGACCCCGAATAAAACAACTCATCTATGCACTCTTTACATCAACCTTACATCTATATCCCATTGTATAGTGAGAACATCTCCTATAAATAATAACATACAAATACGAAAGATGCTCCTATGTGCGGCTGACAAATATTGTGAGGACCAGATCCGCTCTCTAGATGGGTCTCAAGTATACACAGCATATATATGGGTCCCTCGACTCACATAACCTGTCATCTCGTGTACATATTTGGAGGATCCCCTCCCGAGGTCAGGACCTATCATGGATGGGTCCCATTTCACAGTCTACGAATTAAAATCATTTCAAATAAAATTGTCAAGTTAGAGCGGACAATGAAGTTCGAGCAATCTGGACTTGTTTAGGCTGAGTTTGGAAGGAGTATAAATGTAAATATGTAGAGTGCAAAACCTTATATTTTGTATTATTATTTGCATTTGTACTGTTTTTAAATGCTAAGGCTCCATTTGTTTGCGATACAAACACCGAATTAGGGTATTTATGTACCCCAGTTCGTGTTTGTGAGTGTTTGTTTGAAACGTAAAAGAATAATGATTATCAGAGTAAAAATGTATTTTTTGACAATTTTGTACTCTGAGAAGAGGGCATTACTGTACCTAATTTTTGGATACAATTTTATGTTCTTTTGATAATTAACTTTTTGACCCAAGTTAATACATTGGAGTATAAAATAGTTGGAACATTTAATGATGGGCACACACTTTTGCACCGATTTCAAACAAACAAGATGAATGCAAAAGCGGTTTAAAATGTAAACCATGTTTACATTCATGAACCAAAAAATGGGTAAATATGTAGTATACATATTTGCATTTGCATTGCAACCAAACACGACCTTAGTGTTTTCTACAGCCAGCCCAGGCCCCATAATGTGGGACCATCTCATTGATCTATGAGAAAATACTACTCATGCAGGCATCTGAGCCCAAGCGTTGGGAAATAGGTTACACATTGCTGCGGAATTACCGCTACCTCTATTTGGAATTAAATCAAATACTAAGGGGGTGTTCGACCATATGATTGGTTATTGTCAAGGTTTTAAAATCAGATTGGACACGGAACTGTTATGGGATTGGTTCTCGGGTTGAACGGTTTGATTGTGCGGTTTGAACAGATGGCCTATTTTGACTTAAAAAAATAAATAAAATAAAAAAAGCAGCTAAAAATTATTGTCCGGATTGACAGTTTGACCATTTAGGCCAACTGATCATTGACTAAATCAACAGTTTTTTTTTTGTTAAAAAGAGGTTTTATGGTGAAACAAAACTGGCTACCTGACTGTTCTTAGGTCAACCAGTCCGACCATCTGGTCGAATTCAGTTTTCAAACCATGGTTATTGTTTTTTGTGAATAAAAACAACTACCATAGGGTTCCTCTGTATTCTCATCCATTGTACTTTGGATTAACTTAGGGGGTATTGCATAATATGGTTTATTTTGTTTTAGAAAATAAAAAAAACAACTGCATAACATTAAAAACAATATAATTTTGCTGATGTGATAATTGTTTTTTTGTTTTTGAAAACAAAACCAACCATATTGTCAAACAACCCCTCACTTGCTCCACCACACCATGAACATATTATCAAGTTTAGTGGATGAAAATGCTCATATGACATTTATGGGGCGTTAGTCCATGTGTATGGTTTTGTTTTTTAGAATAAAAATAATTATGGAGTGTTTGTCAATGTAAATGCTTTTTGTTTTCTAAAACATAAACAAGTGACACATCAGATTGCCAATGTGATGGGGTGTTATAATGTTTTCAAAATATTATAAATCATTATAGTGGATATCAATTTGGGAAGTTGATTTATTCACAGTTTAGAAATTGACTTAAAGTATCTCAGAGTTTTTTAACAATTGACTAAACCCTCTCACTATTAGCTCCATTAACGAAAAGGTGGAAAATGACATTTTTCCTATCATTCTTCTTTAAATTTTCTAAATAAAATATTTGAAAATTTTCAAATGAACCAATTTCAATTTTACTTCATCATTCTTTAAAATTTTAAATTTGTAGATCCAATCTCTAAGTCTCAATTCTCGCCTTTTCTCTCCATCTCCATACTTTCTTGTAGCAAAATGAAAGCTATAGATAGGTCCAGGGCTTTAGATAAAGGTTTTTCTTATTTGTTATTTTCCTTATTTCTATATTTCCTCGCTTTCGTTCAATAAACAAGCTTCAAAAGAAATGGCGAGAGCCGGAGGAATCATGAATGCAGTCGACGTTGGAATAGCATCTCTATTCCAGGTTGAGATAGAAAATAGCAGATGTTTTAGCGGTCAAACTTCGTTAGCATTTTAATTTAATCTCTTTGAAGTTCATCCATTGCATATTGGAGGTCAGGAAGTTGGAAGCAGGAAGGCTGATCGAGGTAATCAATTGTGCAGAATTGCTGCAATCGGTCTAGAGTCACTTAGATCATATGTCAAACCATTTTCTAGAGCAACAACTACTGTTGGGAGGATTAGAGAAGATTCAATTAGACTTTGAGAAGTTGTTAAGTTGGATTCATTGGTTTTTAGCTTAAAAATCTCAAAAGTTCAAGACGTTCTTGAAGATGGATTCGTCGATTTGCAGTTTCATGTTTTCAGAAATCCATAAATATCATTTCAAAAATAGAATTCACTGTTTTTGTGTATTTGTGTGCATCAATATGATTCTTGGGATTAGACCTTCTTTTTGTTGGTTAGCAACAAAGCACAGAGTGAGACTTCGAAAATTTAAAGTATAGTAGAGGGCAAAATCGACCACAAAAGGGAAATATAGGATTTAAAAAAATCGGGAAGGATTTAGTCAATTATGGGAAAACTTGAGATATTTGCCCATCCTTGATAGTAAGTAGCTAAGTCCCAAACTGGAAGGCTTGAGTAAGTTGATAAACAAACTTAATTGAGGGGAGGAACAAATTTGAAGGCTTGAGGAACAGGAACTTTCCTTTTGGTATGGCATAGTACACATTAGAGAGGACTCATAGGTGGGGACAAAGTAGGGTACATATGATTCCATGCCACCATTCATATAGAGTGACGCCGAATGACCATTTGAATCACTGAATCATCCAAGGAATATTATGTATTTCCTCCCATAAATCTAATTCCATTTTAACAGGACTTCATCCCAAAATCTAACAAAGGATTCCATCCCAAGCCATTTCACAGCTTCAGTTACAAGTTACAAGCTAAGTGGATGTCGACTTTACAATATGTGGTTGGCCCGCTTTGTCTTCTTACCAATCCTGTATGTGTACTTCCTATTGGTGCAGTGTGCTCGGCCCAATTAATAGGATCTGGTCTAATGAAGAACTTTGATGGTAGACCGGTTCTCTATGGCTCCCACTCGGATAGGGATCCAATGTGCGGCTGCAGTGGGTTGTTGGGATAGTGTTGGAAGTGTTTTGTTGATGGAAAATCTGAACTCTCCCACCACATATTTATATGTTGAAATGTGACAAGTTGACAACTGAAAGGGTTGGGTTGGTATAATGTACAAGATTATTGAACAATACTAATGGAGATGTTAGTTCCAACCTAGCTTGCAGTAGCGAGGCCCTATGTGGCCATGCACATGGTTATGATAGAATCGGTCCGACATGGAACCAAAAAATAGCGGTGGGGTCGGTTAACATGGACCAGTAGGTTCCCCACTCCCCATCATCCCCCATTGATCGCTTTTAGGGCCAGCTAGAAGTCGAACCAAGAGTCAAGAGAAATTTGCTGCATTCAAGTCAATAATTGGTAGGGCTGTCAATGGGTAGGGTCCGGTCTGATCGGATAAATTTGATTGTATTGGTTCTAGTTTCAGGATTTAGATCAGTGGTTCAGTTTTGGTTCTTGTGGGTATATATATATATATATATATAATATATATATATATATATATATATATATATATATATATATATACATGGTTTTAAAAAATGATTCGGAAATAGAATCGTTCTGTCCACTGGTTTCTAGGTTGATGGTTCGATCATCCGATTCAAATGGGTGGCCCGTTTTAACAACAAAAATAAAAATAAAAAACGGCCAAAAACCGTTGAATAGATCGATGGATTGACCATCGGTCGTTAATCGATTCAATGGTGGACTAAAACTGAACCAATTGCCTAGACAGTTTCTGAATACGTTGAATGGTCCAACCGTCCGGGTCAATAACAGTTCGAAAATCATGTATATATATATATATATATATATATATATATATATATATGCAGACCGGATTTCAAACAAAATTGGTTCCCAATGTTATTTATTTATTTTGTGAAAATGGTCCTGCTTCACCAAGCTTGGAGTCATCATTAATTGATTCACAATCACCAATGACCAACCTGTCTAGAAGGCAACAAGCATCTTTTGATCTTTTCCTTTCAAAGCCCATAACGAACAAAATTGCACCATCGACGCTTATTCCTTTCTGTCCAGACTTAAGAGTTCAGACCACCTCACAGACACCATTTAAAGGCCAATAATTCTTCCTCCTCCCCTCGCACAGCACAAGGCACTGAGTAAAGGAATCCATGGCTACCAAGATCTCTGCTTCTGCTATAGCTCTGGTCTTCTTCACTCTCCTCTGCTCGGCAGCATTTTCTAGTGCTTGTGTCCCATGCAATCCCAAGCCCAATCCCTCTCCCAAGTTCCCACCAAATCTCCCTCCAAAGAGTCCCCCTGCAAACCCTTTCTGCCCCAGGGATACGCTGAAGCTCGGTGCCTGCTCTGAGCTGCTCGGGGGCTTAGTTAACCATGTGGCCGGCACCCCACCTTCAAGCAAGTGCTGCACATTGCTCGACGGCCTGGTCGACGCTGAAGCAGCGGCCTGCATCTGCACTGTCATCAAGGAGAATGCCTTCGGTATCAAGTTGGAATGGTCTGTCGCTTTTAGTATGCTGGTTAGCGCGTGTAAGAAGTCGATTCCCCCTGGTTTCAAGTGTGTCTGAGAGGTTGGTTTTCAGTTCAACATCTGTGTCTCTGTCATGGGTTCATGTCTTTGTACATCGTTGTGATGACGATTTCCGGTTGGGAAGGTGGTGCCGTGATTGTTAACCCGCTCTGGTTTATCAGTTTCTCATTCTGTTTGTCTTGTTTATCCAAATAAGTAGCTGCCTTCCCTTTGAATTGTTAGCATTTATATATATTCTAAATATTGAGCGTCTACTCGTTTGTGGTAGTTCAACCATCAAGTCTGTGTTTGGTTTGCTGCACCAACTGGAAAAGGAAGGAGATCGGATCTGTTACCACAAATACCCACAAGACACTATAGCCGCACATAAGGAATATCTATCTCCCCGTCACTGAGATGTTCTCCATGTACCATGTGTGGCAGTAGTGTCTTGTGGGGCCAACAAGTGTAGTATAATGAGCTATATAACCAATCAAGAGCGCCGTGTGGGTCTCATGTGTTTGGAAGTTGGAACAGTAGCATGGTTACTCTTAAGAACTGCTAGCTTGAGCTTGGATCTCACACCAACAAACTGTTCCCACATCCATACCCTCATAACATTACAGGCCGGGCGTGTGTATTGGGAACAGTTTGCTGTGTCATGTGTAGGTATGGATGTGGGAACAGTTCATGCGTAGGAGATCCGAACTAAGGATGTAAATGGATCGGATTTGATATTATTCATGCTGGATTTGATTTGATCCAAATATCCGATCGAATTTTATAGGATTTGATTTGAATTCGCATCCTATCGGTAAGTCGGGTTTTCAGATTTGATCCAATCCGACTTGTTTTTTTTTTAAATTAATAAATTCTTAAAAGAAAATTAAAATATACTGATTTAAATAAAGTAAAAACAAAAAATATAAGTAATTTTTAATTATTTTTATCATATATATACATATTTTTTATAAAAAATAAATAATATAACAAATTTATAAATAAATAAATAACATATATATGTATTATATATATTTATATTTATAAATATATAATATATATCAGATTGGATAGGGGATTAGAATCCGATCCGATTTCTGATCGGGTACTATTATCCAATACCATCTGAAGATCCGAACAGGCATGATTTGAATTCGATCAAATAAGATCGAATCTCAGATCGGATATGATCCATTTGCACCCCTAATCCGAAGACTTTAGATCTCCTGCCCACGAGAACTCTGCCCACATCTACCCACAACACACCACCCCCTTGAATTGAGAATATCTCTCCCTGTAATACTATGTAAAGGCTGAGATGTTCTCCATGTGTGAATGCAATAAATATAGGCAGAATTTGTGTGGGCAAGAGATGGAGATTCTAATCCGAACTGGTTTTTTCATATGGAGCCTACCTTATAAAGCAGAAAGCAAAATAGTCACCTGATTGGTTAATAAATAGCCTGTTGTACAACAAGTCTTCATTTGCAGCAGAAAAATAACCAATCGGCTGGAACCGAGGTTCTGATTGGTCAAAGTTCTTCCTGTACCATCCCATTTCAACGTAATAGAAGTTCCGCCTTACTTAAATAAGTGCAGTTACCCGATCATCTCATATGCAAAAAGAGAAACACTAAAATAAAAATATGAATTCATTTTTTATTCATTTAAAACTCAAAAGAATGGCTCTTTGCCCAAATTTACTTTCTATCAACATTCAAAAATTCAACAATGAATTGTTGTACGATTCCAAAAATTAATCATCACAACATAGAATATCAACAAAAGGAGGAGCAATCAATCACACAGAGAGAACTACTTATATCTCTATTCAAAAACTCAACAATTTGATAAGAGGTTTATCCTTTTTCTTCTTTGTTTGGACCAATCGAAGGAAGATAGTTTTTGTTATCAATCTAAGACAAATTCACCTCTGGGGTTTTGATAAATTTGGTCAAATTCAGTTAAACTTAAATATAATAGAGAGAAAAATAAGAAAAAAGAAGAAGAGTAACACGAGGAGTGGAAAGTATAAGTCAATTGTGGGGGCAATTGAGAAGATGGAATGTCAGATTAAACATAATTCTTAGGGCTCATTTGATTTATCATCAGAATCAGAACCAAAATCTCTTGGGATTGAAACCGGAATGGTGTATTCCCAATCTATTTGGTTCAGATGGAAACCAAAATCACTTCGAACATGAATTCATTTCCAAGGGAGGGGGAGGGAATGGCTATTTTCTCAAGTGGGAGAATGCCATCTACCAAGAATAGAAATGGGATTCCAATTCCATCCGATCAAATAATTAGAACTGAAATAGTCCATTCCAATTTTGATTCAGACCCCTATTCTTGCAAACCAAATGGGCCCTTATTATAGGAAATGGGTCAGTTATCAACCCGGTTATGCTTTATTAATAAATTGAAAAAGCATATTCTAAGGTATTGTTTGGCTTGGCAAAGAGAAACCATTAGAGAGTAACAACAAATGGGGCGGATGTTTTTAGAAGTGGATTATTTTCAGAGAGCAGCTTCTCATTTCAAACCCATTTCAGTAAAATCAATGCTGTTTCTTACAACCCAAATGCAGTGCTCTTTCTGGATTTCGTAAAACAACTAACGCAGTACTCTTCACTGGTTTTATATTAGTTTGGTTTTCTCTCTTTGTAGGTTTTATATTAGTTTGGTTTTCTTTCTTGTTTTTCGTCGTCTATTCCCTTGTCTTGTCATGTGTGTCACGGACAATTGGATAAAACCCAATTCTTTTTCTGATTCTTTCCATCATATCATCCCAGGTGCTTTGATTTGAGAACAGGTGGGCCGTATGGCCCATACCCATCCATTAGCTCTTTGGACTTTGGACAAGCTTCACCAACGTGGGCATCACCTTTTCCTTCACGTTGAGTGGTGACGTGTACGTCTCCTTAATTTCGTAAATGAGAGAAAGGAGGAATAGCAACCAAAATTCAATAATAAGCAAAAATACGTCAGGGTCATGGCCCACCATAATTCCTATTATTATTATTATTATTATTATTATTATTATTATTATTATTATTACAACATAATTCCTATTTTACATGGTAGGAGAATCAGGGTTCAGAACATAGTAGGTACATGAGATCCACCGACTATACCACAGAGCACTCGGAATTTGTTACTTATAAGACTGTTATTGAAAGAGAGCACCACCACTGTATATGGAGAACATCTCTTTATGAATGATAAGGGAGATATTCTCGATGTATAACTATAATGTTTTGTGGATAAAAATGTAAGAACAGCTTGTAAGTAGCATATCCGAGCCTGCCATAGAGTCTACGCCTCCTATATTGGAGGAATGTCCACTGCCTTTGTTAGAACTTGTGGATCAATACTGATTGCCCATGCCAATCATAGGGGATGTTTGGAACTGTGGCCTTTTTTCAAAAAAATGGTGTCACGTCAAATCCATATAGACGTTTCAACAAACGCTCATGTATCTCATTGTTTGGTTCAGTCAATTATTAAAAAATTAGGCATGCCTCGAAAATCGGAACCCCACCGATGTATGAAATGCTAAAATTGGGCAACCAATTATTAAAAATTTGGCGTTTCATGCATCGGTGTACCGTTTCCCCCAACGGTTGAATGATGTGTATCCTATGAAGTGCTTACCTGTCAACACATACATGAAAAACAGTGATTAAAATCACCTTATCAAACAACATATCGTTGCTCACTGCCTATGTGGCAGAAGTGTTTTTTTTTTCTTGTAAAAAATGGGTCTTGAAAGCATAGATGTTTTTTCTTAAAAATCGGTTCCAAAAATCACCCACACTTCCAAACATAAAGTGCATATAACCCACAACCATTTAGGGGGTGTTTGATACAGTGGCGTTGTGTTGATAGTCTTTTCGGTTGATTAATATAAATTTGTGAAAAATATGTATTGTTATATCTAATTTTAATTAGAAAAATGAAAAATGCATATATATGCTAAAAAGTAAAAACATCAATTTGTATAAATCATTTCAAAATTTTTAAAACATTTTAAATAAAAGATCTCACAAATCCAAGTCTCTCACTTTGCATTAATGGCTGACATGTGGTATATAATGATTGGTCCCACAGCCCATAAAACATAATCAAGCTCAACGAATCAGGTTTCCTCAACAACAAGGCCATCGGCACATCAAGTTCAGCAAGCCAGTTACATGATTTGATCAATTTACACAATTGGGCTCCAAAACAATTCAAATTTTAATAAAATGGTAACACCTCTACCTTGTATAGCCCACCTCTCTCAAGACTTCATATGGTTGAGACCACTGACCAACATTGTAGGGCTATAAATAAATCGGATCAGATCCGATTTGAATCCAAATACGATCCAGTAATAGTTGGATTCGGATACCATCCTTGATCCTAATAAATTTGATTAAATAGGAAAAATCCGAATTGAATCCAAATACGATCCGGTAAAAGTTGGATTCGGATACCATCGTTGATCCTAATAAATTTGATTAAATAGGAAAAGTTGATACATTTAGTTAAGAGATTGAATTCGATTGTATCCCCCAATTTGATCCATCATGACCAAATAAGATATATTTTGAAAATCCAACGAATTTTTATCGGATTCAGATAGGAATTTTTTATCATCCCATCGGATATATCAATTCTTCAAATTGGCTCTTGAATCCATTTAATGCCCCCTGCTGCTGTGACTAAATTTGATGAATGTCTTTTAAGGTTGGATGTTTACTAATCATAACCCTGAAAAAAAAATGAGGTTCATTACAAGGATTTTTTTCTAGAGGATTTGAAATGCAACAAATGAGAAATTGTTGACTGATGTTGAGCCTAATCTCTAAAATCTTCTTTCTTATTAGAGGAGAAGATTTTATCGGCTGTTACCAAGATGGTCCCAAATTCTAAACCATGCCCGATGTAGTTGAAATTCTTCAAGGTGGACAACTAGAAATGCAGCCTTAGGCCCCTAGCTAATTCAGTACCTAACGAAGATCAAGACTGACTGCTACTAGAAAAAGGTTTTTGTGATCAAAGACAAATTGGAAAAATACTAAGAGAGATATGTCTTTGCCATTTCATTTTGTCCCTTAGGCTCAGTTTGACCAAATATAAATATGTAGTGTAAATATATACAAAATAATACATAATACTAGATTTAACATCTATATATTTTGAATTTTTACTCCTTCCAAACTGAGCTTTGGGCGGTTTGATTTGAGAATTTGTTAAATTTGAACGGGCCCAATATTTGAGCCCAGACCCAATGCTAAATAAATTCCTCA